CGACCAGTGCCTCCCGCAACGAGGACTGACAACCTGGCGAGGGCCATCAGCAGTATTCGAAGTTCAGATACCAGCGAACTCCGTCTATTCTGATAACCTATGTTGCAACTTGGCTCATCCTCGTCGAGCACGGAAGGGAAGAACAGAAGAAGTTCGCCGACATCCGAACTTTGCCTTTTCACGGGGGTTTGATAGAAGAAGTCCGCCCGCATCCGAACTTCATCGATGTGCCTTTTCTGCATTCAAACAATGAACACCGCCCTCAGGCGACGTACAGTCCTCTTGTGTTCGCGCTTCGCACATTGCAGTGCGCCTGCATCTGAACTTCACATATTCGCCAAAAAAGGCCCACGTTGAAGTTCGGGTCCTGGCGGACTAGGTGGTTTTCACGGTAGGACGTGAGCAGTTATCCTTTCTCACAAGTATTTGAAGTTCGGATGCTAGGGAACTTCGTGTCTCCACACACCCCATGCTGCAGCCAGGGTCTTCTTGGTCCAGCACAGGAGGGGAGGACAATAGAAGATCGTCAGCATCCGAACTTCACGTTTCGACGGGGGTGTGGCAGAAAAAGTCGACCCGCATCCGAACTTCGATGATTTGCTTTTTCATCATCAAAACAACCAACACCGCCCTCTGGGGACGCACAGCCCTCCTGTGTGCGCACTTTGCACATCGTAGTTCGCCTCCATCCGAACTTCACATGTTCACCACCAATGGCCCAGGTCAAAGTCTGGATTCCGGCGGACTTGGTGGTGTTCATGCTAGCACGTGAATAATTATCCTTTCTCACCAGTATTCGAAGTTCGAAAGCCGGTGAACTTCATGTTTCCACACAACCCATGCTGCAACCGGGGTCTTCCCGGTGGGGCACGGGAGTGGAGGACAAAAGAAGTTCGCCGACATCCGAACTTCACGTTCGACGGTGATGTTAAGAAAGAATTCCGCCCGCATCCGAACTTAATGATTTGCCTTTTCTGCATCCAAGCAATGAACACTGCCGTCAGGTGACGTGCAGTCCTCCTTTGTTCGCACTTTGCACATCGTACTTCACCGGCATTCGAACTTCACATGTTCACAAAAACTGCCGCCTAGGTCGAAGTTCGGATTCCGGCGGACTTGGTGGTGTTCACTGTGGCACTTCAGCAATTATCTATTCTCACCCGTCTTTGAAGTTCGGATGCCAACGAACTTCGTGTTTCCACACAACCCATGCTGCAACCAGGGTCTTCCTGGCCCACCACGGGAGGGGAGGACAAAAGACGTTCAACAGCATCCTGACTTCACGTTTTGTCTGTGAGGGCTCAGTGAAGAAGTCCGCCCGCATCCGACTTTCAATGTTTGGCCTTCTGCGTATCCGGACGATCAACACCGGCTTCAGCTGACGCACAATCTTCCTCTATTCTTGGTTTGCACAGTGCCGACAGGCTTCGGAAAGAATTGTAGTCCTCCGGCATCCGAACTTGATTATTCGTCACTGCTGGCAACGCAAGAAGATCGGGTTCCGACGGACCAGGCGGTAGTCCTTGTGGCACGTCAGTATTTGCCCTTTGTCACCTGGGTTCAAAATTCGTATGCCAGCGCACTTCGTCTTTTCACACAACTATGCTGCAACCAGCTTCCTCGTGGCCCAACACGGGAGGGGAGGACAAAAGAAGCTCACCGGCATCCAATCTCCACCTGCTTCTGGTGGGGGCTGGCTGAAGAAGCCCACCCGCATCCGAACTTCAGCGATTGATTTTTTTTTCATCCGGAGCAATGAACACCGTCCTCAAGGACCATGCAGTGCGAATATGTTTGCTTTTTGCGCCACGCCCAGAAGCCTGGAAACGGATTGTAGTTCGCCAGCATCCGAACTCCGCATGTTGAGCAGAGGCCACCAATCCGCTCGACCGACAGCCCCCCCCGGTCCTGGTAAGGCATGTCGACCACCGGTGTTCACCAACATCCGACAATCCCCGCACTTCGTGAAAACTCTATGAAGTTCGGATGCCGACGATCTTGCCTAGTATGTTGTGACGACGACGGACTTGAACTTCGGTTCTCGTCCTGGGGCAGCGCGAACTTCGAGGAGCGCCACCTTGCGATTCCCTTTCGACATGCCCACGGCCTCAATCTGTCGGAATCTGGACTTCGCATATTCTAGTTGCATCACTGGCGCAGACGCCCGGGTGATGAATACCTTCAGTACCGACGTGTTTGTTGCCCAACCACCTACAAGAAGTTCCAAATAGTCGGCGGCCGCCTTCGCGGATTGCCAAAAGCACTCTTAGGGGACCTTGGTGCGGGTTCTCGATCCGTTCGGCGCAGGGCTCAGTTGCCACACGGTTGGTGGCCCTTCTTGTTGGATCTGGATCTGTTTCGAACAAAGTTTCGCACTCCGCAAACAGAATACCCCTCTAGTTCCCGCAGGTTATCAGTTGTTCGGGAAGTCTTTCGGGATGCTCAATTGCAACTGGGGCGAGTTTGGTGGGCCTTCTTGTTGGATCTGGATCTGTCTCGAGTAGAGTTTCGCACTCCACAAAGAAAATTCCCCTCCTGTTCCCGCATGTTATCAGTTGTTCGGCCAGTCTTTCGGGATTCTCAATCGCAACTGGGGCGAGTTTGGTAGGCCTTCTTGTTGGATCTGGATCTGTTTCGAGCAAAGTTTCGCACTCCACAAACAGAGTTCCCCTCCAGTTCCTGCAGGTGAACAGTTGTTCGGGCAGTCTTTCGGGATGCTGAATCGTAACTGGGGCAAGTTCGGTGGGCCTTCTTCTGGGGTCTACACATAAGAAGGCAGAGTGTGGCGGTCGCACACCATTGTCCATCTACGAGGTTGCCCGACAATTTCGTCAAGTTCTTCGGTATCCGAACTTCGCATGAAGGCCAAAGAAGGATGTGAGGAAGTGCGGATACCGGCGGACTTGTCAACTGTTTGTGCAGTCTTTCATCAGGTTCATACGCTACCGGAGCGAGTTTGGTGTGCCTTCTTGTTGGGTCCAAGGGTGTAAACGGCAAAGTTTAGCAGTCTACAAACCGGTTCACACTCCGTTGTGATAAGTGCCCATCGAATTTGTCAAGTTCGCCGGTATCCGAACTTCGCACAAAGCGTGAGGAGGATGTGAAGAAGAGCGGATGCCGGCGAACTTCTCGACTGTCCGTGCACTCTGTCGTCATGTTAATACACTGTTGGGGCGTGTTTGGCGTGCCTTCTTGTTGGGTCTGGGCGTGTGAACTACAGAGTCTAGCAGTCGACAGATCGTCTCACAATCTGTAACATCACACACCGTTATCAAGCAGCGCCAATGCCTGGCGAATTCGTCTAGTTCGCCGGTATCCTAACTTTGTACAGATGTCTCTTTTCTATCGTGCTTTTGGTGCCGATGAACTTTGATGTGCTTTTGGTGGTGTGTAACATGTGGTTCTGCGGAAGTCGAAGTTCACTGGTGGGGTGGGTTATTTATGTCTTCCGTGTGTTGGGTTGTTTTGGTCTCTTGGACCGGTGCAGACACAATGTCCACATCAAGGGGCGAGGAGCAGCCGACTGGAACCTCGGGGAGGGAATCACGAACCTCCAAATTGTGGTCCTATCATGTGCATACCAAATGGTTCGTCGATTGGTGCTGAGGAGATCAATCCGAGCCGACGAGGCCTCCGTGCGGTCCGATTATATTCCTCAAAGACAAAAAAGGGTGTAGAGAGCTTGGGGCGGTTGCAGGATGGCATGCTGGGAAAAAGGACAAGACACAACATTATAAGTTGCACACCGTGTACAATTCGAAGTGCGACGTTGTCGCAAATTCGAAAGGGGCGGTTTTATCTTTTGAGTTGTTCCAGGGGTTGGTGTGGAGGCTTTGAAAACCCCTTTTTACCAAGAGCTCCCGGGGGGAGGTGTCGTTTCGGAGCGGGAATTCTTCGACGTGGTGGAGCAGAAGAACATCAACCTGAAGGAACCCTCCGACATTGAGGGTGGCCAAGAGTTGTCGCTGCCTCTTCACATGTGCACCGGGTTTGAATCCAGCGGTGCTCCGTGGGGAGATTTGGGTTTCGGTTCTTCTTTCCAGCTTCACCGGGGCGAGGGCCGTGGTTAATTCGATGACAGTGACGGTGAAGAACATGAGCAAACGAGGGCTTCGCCGCTTAGGCGGGGAGTCTGTCCTCAGTATTCCTTGGTTGGAGGGACACACCCCAGTTCACGAGCGGCCGGCAACGTCAACATGGGGGGGGTGAGGAGGGTGAACCGCAGCCTCCGCATAAGAGAAGGGGAGGTCATCGGGAAGAGGGTGAGGGTTGTGGAAAGAAACATAAGGCAAGGGCACCCCAGACGTCGGGGGGAAAAAGGAAGGGACTTGAGGGGCAAGAGGGCCCATCGTGTCGGAAACGCCATACGTCGGCGCAGAAATAGCGTCAATCGGGTGTTGTCGAGCCAAAGGGTCCAATCAACATCTACGCGGCATACTTCCTTGAATGGAAAGACGACGTGCACACAAAGCGGGAGTTCTTCATTAGCCCGTCGAGGGTCGTCGACATCAGTGACTCGGAACGCCCGTACAATCAGCGGTCCCTGGATCCCGTCCACACGCAGCTCATCATTGGCGTAATGAAGATGGTCTTCTCACAGGCCGAGAAGACGTATGAGTTGCCCACGCTTAACATGGCGCCGTCGGGGTTAGAGAATCCTGTGAGGGGCGTACGGGAGGTTTGTCTGAAGCCAGAGGACTGGAAGGACGAGCTGGCAGACCAATACTGTTATTACTCTGTTTCCGGGCAGCACAACGTGGCTGCGGCCAAGGCGCTGCTTCGTCTAAGTCACCGAGCTGGATCCGCACTGCTGAAAGGCTAAGGAAGCCCTTACCGACAATGAGAAATGTCGGTTGCTGAAGAAGGTCCTCAATTGCGAGGTCGTGTGGGTGCAGACAGACTTTGCTTCATTAGCGAAGCAAGGGAGGTTGGGACTGCAAGAAGCAGTGCACCTGCTGAAGAGCGATCGCATTTTGGTGCGATTATGAAACTACTACCAGTTCAAGCACGAGAACCAGTCGGACACCGACTGGACACGTACGTACCCGTTCCTGAAGAAAAGGGAGACACTTTTGGCAGAGTTCAAGAAACAAGGAATGTATGCCGTGTTGTGGGACAGAAGTAGGAAGCTCGTCGGTGACGCCTCGTTGTTCAAGGATTGCCCGCCATACATGGGGTGCGAGGACGACAAGACGATCAAGGCGACGGAAAAACTCACCCTCAACAAGAAGTTGTCCGCCGACTGGAAGAACAAGGTCCTATCCGTCTTGACCGACAGTAGGGTGGAGAATTTGGAGGTCGCGCTTGCCGGAGGCGTGGTCCACGTTCTGTGGAAAGACTCGGGGGACGTGACATCCATTGCCTCATTCGGCGTTGACCCTCTGGAGGCGCTGATGAGGGTCACGGAGTTGAAACAAGCGGTTGGGACCACCAAATGCCACACGTGCGTTCTCGATCTTTGCGAGCTGGTGGACTTCAAACAGTGGACGCCCAAAGCTTTTGAGAGTTTGAATTCCCTCCTGGAGCAAGTGTTTCCAGTATACTGGATGGTCGTCGCTTTCGTCCCTCGGGAGTGGGACTACACCTTCATGACCAGCATGCGTCATCTGCCCGTTGTTAAGGCAATGGCAGGGAAGTGGGTAAGGTAGGCAAAACAAAAGAAAAGTTTCCTGGTGGGGAACAACTTGTAAACGGCTGACGACCGCATGTACATTCTCCTCAAAGGTGAGGATTTGCGGGAGAATACTTGTGTCGTTTACGATGCTAGGTTGTCGGCAGGTTACACTGTGGTTGTCGGGGCGCATCAGAAACTGACCCCGACAGACATATCGGATTTTCCCTTCGACCCTTGCGAGTGGTCGTCGGCCATGCCTGGGGTTGACAGAAAGGTCTACAAGGAGATGGAGCGGAACCCCATGCAGTTGGCCCATCTGCTGGAATTCGTGTGCAGAAAGGGGGAGGGTGTCATGTTCCTTGGGAAGCTGCACACGCGAGTCGTGTGGGAGGTTTTGAAGAGCGATCGACACGTGGTCGCGCTCGAAGAGAATTCCAATTTGTTGCAATACACCTTAGAGTTCCTCAAAAGCGAGGTCAACTCTGGCGCCAACCGCTGCAAGTTAGTTTCGAGGAGCGAGAAATCGAGACGCGTTTGGGAACCATTTACGGACATGTGGTTCAAGTTGAGCCAGCGGAGGAGGAACAAGATCTACGAGTTCCTCTTTTTGGAAACGTGGCCCAGGAGGAACAACGACGCTGAGTACATGCGCCGCAAGGAACACATGTTAGTGTTGATGGACAACTACCACGACGCCACACGCATGAACGCAAAGAACTTCCTCGACCGGTTGGAGTGTTTGTACTTCGTCGAGTCAGAGAAGGCGCTAAAGGTCGAGAGTTACGGTGCCTTGATCTCAACGGACGACGAGGCGGAGACAGGTGTTGTTTTCAACACCGCTGCACATGAGAAGGAGAGCGACACCGAGGACATCGACCTCGATTACCACCCTGCCACAGTGTTTCAAGCATCGGGCTCCTCGTCGGCCGCTCCTTCAACATGCCAGGCCACCCAGGCGTCACATGTGGCCAGGTCCGCCCTCGGTAAGACCCCGAGTAAGCTGGCGGCGAGACCGACACCTCGGGCTGCTACCCCGCCGCCGTTGCATCCCTGGGAGTTCGGTTCCACTGCATCATCCTTCTCGCATGGATGATAGCATTCACTTCGAAGGGCTCGACCACACTCGATCGAGTGAGGAAGACTGGGGCCATGACATGATTTGGCACCCGGGAACTATCCAGACGGCAATCGAGAAGGGTGAGTGGATCATGGCCCTCATCAACGACCAAGGGTTGTGGGAGCCATACCCGCGCCAGTCCAAGGCCAAGTACATGGACCTCGCGAGGAGTTCAGTGGTCGATAAAGTGAGGTCTGAAAATTCAAACCTTCAACCCGCCGACCCGGCCATCGACTCCACTGCTGATCGTTTGTTTCAAGAACTTATGACAAGCAGTGGTTGGAACTCTCGGACGAATTCTACGACCTCAACATGAGCCCTTCGAAGGGACAGGTGGAATGGAAGGTACCCCCTGCGACGGGGCCACAGGGGAGTTCAGGGGAGGAATGTGTTGCCCG